TTTTAAAACTGTTTTTGAGTCTCAAATGTTTCTATTAAAAATGAACCAGGGGGCTTGAAGATCATATAATCTTTAACTTACACTTCTGCACTGCTTTTGAGTTCTTTACRCCTTTTTATTTTGGAGTAAAATCTGTGTGCTTCATCATTTAATAACCATCAAGTCACATAGTTAGTTACACAATTTATTTCCATCATTTTGACAGTCAGAAATAAAGTTAAGAAGAASATGTAGTTTCGGAGAACTACAGAAGTGTTAACAAGTTAACTTTATTTCTACCTGAAATAGAATCGGGCGATAACACAGATCATCTTACAGTTCAAACAGTTCCTCTTGTCTTTCCTGTGTGAAGAGCCAGTCAAATATAAAAATCACYGAGTCTGACATAAACTGCACCATCTTCTTTATGTTTGACACATACCACATTTTATAGCCGCATTCACAAATCAACACAATCAAAAAGAGAATCAAAAAACCAAGGAAKATGCGGTCCATTAGATAGTTTGCCTTCTCTCTGAAGGTCCACTGCTGCCATGGTTGAGCCCTCTGATTGTCTCCATGTTTGCTGAAGTGCAGTAAAGTTTGAAGTTCATCATCCAGGTCTTCCTCTGGAGCCTCCAGGTCCTGGCTGCCCTCAGCCTCATCAGTGTTGGTCATTTTATTGCAGCTGTGTGCTGCAAATGCGAGGTTTAAGAGCAAAAACAAAACAAAACAGTACATATTTTTTTAATAATGGTAATTGTAACATCCTTAAYGTTTCAATTCAGAAGAAATGTAAAGAGTCTTACCTTGAAAAATATTAGAATTAGATCAGATCAGAGAAGATCAATGACCAAAAATTGAGACCTTTGCCTTTTTGTTTCCACGCTGATATTATGCTTCTGGTCTTCTGTACAAGTTAGGCCACSAAACTCAGAACGACTGTATGAAGTCAGTAAAAGCCTATGAGAGACCTCGGTCACTGAGACAAGGACTGAGGATTAAACCAGACTCAGCAGTTTCAAATCCCTCAGATGGATGAAGGTGACAGATGGTAATATACTGCAGATACTAATGAGCTCATGCTTGACAAACAGAACAAAACAGAGAAGTATAATGTGCATGCTTTCTTTTTTTTATAAATTGAAATAGCGGCTCATTTTCCATCACCCAAAATCTGGCGTAAATTATGATCATAAGACAGTTTTAAAGATGCATGCAATTCTCTGATTTGACATTTTTACTTTATTAAATATGAGGGTGAAACTGGGCAGAAGTCAAACTGATGACAAAGCAGAAGTGAACTTTAACTGAAGCTTTATAATAGCTTTACTGTTGGAATAAATCAGGATAATGCTCTTTGGTTAATTTACTCMAACGCTCCAGTGCCTTTCACCTCTCTGCCACGGCTTTTAAAAGATGGCCTCAACAAGCTGAACCAGCTCAGCAGATCCCTGCATTGTGCGATAAAGACTTGGGCTCAAATTGCTTGCTTTTGATAAAGTTTCCTTCCAGAAAAGTAACTTAATTAATAATTTGCAGCTTTTGCAAGGCCCTTTAATTCTTCATTATTCTGAAAGGTTTCTGTATTAAATAGCCCACTGAATATTTTCAATTATTTGTATATTGTATTGTTCTATTGTGTATTCTATACTATTGTTATACAGCGGGTAAAATAAGTATTGAACCCGTCACCATTTTTCTCAGTAAATATATTACTAGAGG